TCGAAGGCTTTTGCAAAGTCTGTATAATTTTTATCTGCATTCTTTTTTTCTTCGTGCATTTAGGGCCTTGTCGTAGTGATCCAATATTAGACAGACAGGAGCGACCTTTTAAACCCCTTTCCCTGGGTTGTGTAACTGATGGGGTTTTTAGATGGGTGGTATCTTTTCTTCTTAACCCTTCAAAGATTTTTAAAGAAAGGGATGTTATTTCTATTGTCTTTTTTTTTTCTTTCTGGGGGACTGCCCCTTTTTGGAGTGGGGGGGAGTCGTTGTTTTAGTAACTGGGGACGACCCCCGTTTTCCCTGCTCCCTCTCCATAATGGGAAAAAGGGTCGTGGGTAGGGGTTTCTTTCAGTTCTTTATGAACACAGAGTTCCAGAGTCTGGGCCCCGGGGCAAGTGCATGGCATTCATTTACGCCTGTTCGAAGTCATTTGGCGTCAGGATAACACGGATAGGCTTGGTTTAAACAAATTTTTTGGCTCTCTCAAAAAAAAATTTTATTTTGATCTTCGACTCTCATCTGGTTTTGGGCTTCATAAACGAGCATACGGACTTGAGTACCACTCATTTCCTTGCGCACTGGAGGACCCTCTTGTTTAAGTAGGGGCCCAAAAATGGACGGTTCTCATTTTGATTTGGCATGGAGAAGAAACTTTGGGTTTCTTTTGATTCATTTATGGCTTTAGTTTTTCCCGCGACCTGACTCCTAAAGGATTTTTTTAGCTTAAATTCGATGCTTGCATTTTTTCTGACCATGTCCCCTACCATTTCAATATAGTGACCTCTTTTAGCCCTCGTTATTCTTTTCCGTCGCCTGTAAAGGGAGCGCCCGTCTCTTTCTATTTTACATCAAATCCTCCTTTTTTTTAGAGGAATAAGCCTTGTGCAAACATCAAGTGCCACCGAGTTAATCTGTTCTAGGCATAAGGTGGGGTCTGTGTTGCTTAGTATATCTTCCCAGCTTATATCGGTTAGGAATTGGTTTACTTGGTCCCACTTTATGTTTTTGTTATTGAAGTTGAATTTGGTGAATGCTCCCTCGTGACTAGTCTCATTATGTCGGTCTGGGGCTCCGCGCATACATGTCTAAACCTCAATTATGTTGTGATCTGAGTATATTTTTTTTGATATGGTGACATTTCTTATCAGATCATCATTGTTAGTGAAGATGAGGTTTAGTGTATTCTCCAGTCTAGTAGGCTCTATTATTTGCTGGTTTAAATTGAATTTTGTGCAGAGATTTAAAAGCTCGTGTGAGTGTGAGTTTTCATCAGAGCTGCCTCCTGGTGTTATTACTGCAACAATATTATTTGCTATATTCCTCCATTTTAGGTGCCTTAAGCTGAAATCCCCCAGGAGCAAGATGTTGGGTGCAGGAGCTGGAAGATTTTCCAGACAGTGGTGTAACATCGGGTGTAACAGTGGGGTAACATCGAATTGTAAAGGTGATTTGCTGGTATTGATCCTCAAGAACAGATACCATAAGTGAGGTAGAGGGATATTTATGAGTAGCATAGAGTTTAAGGTTGAAGAATAAGACATGTACAACAGTTGGGTGTCTTTATTGATGAAACGTTTCGCCTACACAGTAGGCTTCTTCAGTCAAATACAGAGGCAGTAGTAGTAGTGAAATAAAGATGATATAATCAGTCCATCAACCTTGGAGAAAAAGTATTTGAGGTGGTCAGTCCCTCTGCCTGGAGAAGAGTTCAGTTCCATGGTCTGGAACAAGGTGGTTAGTCCCTCAGCCTGGAGAAGAGTTCATCACCAAGGTCTGGAACAAGGCGGATAGCCCCTCTGCCTGGAGAAGAGTTCAGCTCCATGGTCTGGAACAAGGTTGTCAGTCCCTCAGCCTGGAGAAGAGTTCAGCTCCATGGTCTGGAACAAGGTGGTCAGTCCTTCAGCCTGGAGAAGAGTTCAGCTCCATGGTCTGGAACAAGGTTGTCAGTCCCTCAGCCTGGAGAAGAGTTCAGCTCCATGGTCTGGATCAAGGTGGTCAGTCCCTTAGCCTGGAGAAGAGTTCAGCTCCATGGTCTGGATCAAGGTGGTCAGTCCCTCAGCCTGGAGAAGAGTTAAGCTCCATGGTCTGGATCAAGGTGGTCAGTCCCTCAGCCTGGAGAAGAGTTCAGCACCATGGTCTTGAACAAGGTGGTCAGTCCCTCAGCCTGGAGAAGAGTTAAGCACCATGGTCTGGAACAAGGTGGTTAGTCCCTCAGCCTGGAGAAGAGTTCAGCACCATGGTCTTGAACAAGGTGGTCAGTCCCTCAGCCTGGAGAAGAGTTCAGCACCATGGTCTGGAACAAGGTGGTCAGTCCCTCAGCCTGGAGAAGAGTTTAGCACCATGTCTGGAACAAGGTGGTCAGTCCCTCAGCCTGGAGAAGAGTTAAGCACCATGGTCTGGAACAAGGTGGTCAGTCCCTCAGCCTGGAGAAGAGTTCAGCTCCATGGTCTGGATCAAGGTGGTCAGTCCCTTAGCCTGGAGAAGAGTTCAGCTCCATGGTCTGGATCAAGGTGGTCAGTCCCTCAGCCTGGAGAAGAGTTCAGCTCCATGGTCTGGATCAAGGTGGCCAGTCCCTCAGCCTGGAGAAGAGTTCAGCACCATGGTCTGGAACAAGGTGGTCAGTCCCTCAGCCTGGAGAAGAGTTCAGCACCATGGTCTTGAACAAGGTGGTCAGTCCCTCAGCCTGAAGAAGAGTTAAGCACCATGGTCTGGAACAAGGTGGTCAGTCCCTCAGCCTGGAGAAGAGTTAAGCACCATGGTCTGGAACAAGGTGGTCAGTCCCTCAGCCTGGAGAAGAGTTCAGCACCATGGTCTGGAACAAGGTTGTCAGTCCCTCAGCCTGGAGAAGAGTTCAGCACCATGGTCTGGAACAAGGTTGTCAGTCCCTCAGCCTGGAGAAGAGTTCAGCACCATGGTCTGGGAACAAGGTTGTCAGTCCCTCAGCCTGGAGAAGAGTTCAGCACCATGGTCTGGAACAAGGTGGTCAGTCCTCAGCCTGGAGAAGAGTTCAGCACCATGGTCTGGAACAAGGTGGTCAGTCCCTCAGCCTGGAGAAGAGTTCAGCACCATGGTCTTGAACAAGGTGGTCAGTCCCTCAGCCTGAAGAAGAGTTAAGCACCATGGTCTGGAACAAGGTGGTCAGTCCCTCAGCCTGGAGAAGAGTTCAGCACCATGGTCTGGAACAAGGTTGTCAGTCCCTCAGCCTGGAGAAGAGTTCAGCACCATGGTCTGGAACAAGGTTGTCAGTCCCTCAGCCTGGAGAAGAGTTCAGCACCATGGTCTGGAACAAGGTTGTCAGTCCCTCAGCCTGGAGAAGAGTTCAGCACCATGGTCTGGAACAAGGTGGTCAGTCCCTCAGCCTGGAGAAGAGTTAAGCACCATGGTCTGGAACAAGGTGGTCAGTCCCTCAGCCTGGAGAAGAGTTAAGCACCATGGTCTTGAACAAGGTTGTCAGTCCCTCAGCCTGGAGAAGAGTTCAGCACCAAGGTCTGGAACAACATCGACTCAACACCATGGTGCTTAACTCTTCTCCAGGCTGAGGGACTGATTACATTATTATTTCATTACTACCGCTCCCTCTGTATTTGACTGAAGAAGCCTAGTATAGGCGAAAAATTTCAACAATAAAGATACCAACTGTTGCACATATAACTTAAATTTCGACCTGTCAGTATTTTATACAATTTTCAACAACCTAGTAACGTATGTTTGAGAGAATATTTTACTCTGTGAACTGTTATGATAAGCAGGTGTTTTAACCTTTATTACTGAATATGTGGAAGATCTTGTCAACATTGAGAGTAAGTTGTTGGTGACCTATCCAGGTAAATAACTCTACGAGCTTCTGCTTGACTGTTGTCGAGGGCCACAGCATCTGTATTTGATATCACGAATGTTTTGTCAGGTACAAACAGGACTGAGAATCATATCGTAGATCCATAGTATAGTTGAGGAATAGCAGTGGACCCAAGACATTACCCTGAGGTACCACAGTGGACCCAAGGCATTACCCTGAGGTACCACAGTGGACCCAAGGCATTACCCTGAGGTACCACAGTGGACCCAAGACATTACCCTGAGGTACCAGAGTGGACCCAAGGCATTTCCCTGAGGTACCAGAGTGGACCCAAGGCATTACCCTGAGGTACCAGAGTGGACCCAAGACATTACCCTGAGGTACCAGAGTGGACCTAAGGCATTACCCTGAGGTACCACAGTGGACGCAAGGCATTACCCTGAGGTACCACAGTGGACCCAAGACATTACCCTGAGGTACCTGAGTGTTCAGAGTTTTGGTAGATAAAGTAGTATACCTGGAGAGGGCTTCGGGGGTCAGCGCCCCCGCGGCCTGGTCTGAGACCAGATTTCATGGTGGATCAGGGTCTAATCAACCAGGCTGTTACTGCTGGCCGCACTGATAGTTACATATTGATGTCTGTATGTAAAGTACAGTAGAACTTTGCGAGAGTATGGCCACTAACTTCATAATAATCCAGGTTCACCAGTAAGATATTGTGGTCGTCAGTGTTATAAACTACACCTAGATCGATGGAGAACCTAACTAGATGTTCACTATTTTCTAGAGGAAAATAAACACAGTTTAATATCACTATGAGATCAAACATTGACACTCTTATCAACCTGGACTGTAGCCAAAACTCCCGAAGATGGAGGACTTTTTGTATAGCAATAAAACCATATATAATATATTATCTTTTCAAATTTTAGATAATAATGAGACGTTTGAGATAAATCTATAGTTTATAACTGATATAATTCTACAAGTCAAGCCTATAACAAATATTAAATCTAATTTATCCACTTCTAGGTATTGTATACATGTATAACCATGTACAATACCGCTAGGAAAGTCATGTTCTAACATTCCTAAATGTTATCTTACTCTCTAACTCTTAAAAAAGATTCTCCTTACAAGTGGAAAGATTATAAATTCTGATACCAGTCTCTGGGATTTATCTGTACACCGCCAGTCCTCTCTGACCTGTGACTTACATATGCTTAACAATTCGCAAACAGGCGATATTATTTACAAATATTATCTCTCAGTTCACAGCAAGATTCGAACCTGCAAACTCGGCTTCAGAGTGCACAGTACTTTACCCACAACGCCAGATTCCAGATAAGTATGGGAACCTAACCGAAGGAAGACGGTATTTTTCCATACTCAGGAGCACCAGGCTTGTTCAACGTAATTTTATCAAATTCTACCACAAGCAGTAAACGAATGAGATTTTGAAATGCTTAACAATTTGCAAACAGGGAAAATTATTTACAAAAATTATCTCATTCCACAGCAGATCAAGTACTGTGTCACACTGATGCCGAGTTTGCAGGTTTGAATCCTGCTGCGACTTGAGAGATAATGCTTGTGTATACATATATAGAAGAAAAATAAGGGCTTCAAGTCATTATCACAAGCATTTAAAGTGATTCATTCACACGTACTGAATATCCTCGCTCATGGGCACTGTTATGCATCGTAAGAACCTTTACAGTCAGTCTTCATTACTTCATACCCCTTCAAGGTGATTCCTTGATGCTTGTCAAGGGCTCTGAAAGTGGGATTAAGTGGAGCATATATAAGGGCTTGCCTAGAATGATCTGGGTTCACTTGTTTTGCGGTCAACAGCGCTAGAAGAGCAAACATGAAGACCTTCCTGCCCCTCGTTCTTGTATTTCTGGCTGTAGCAGCCAACGCTGCTCCTGGTAAGTATCTCGTGTACTCTTTCCTTCACTTGTGAGTGCCATCACACACTCACAGACTCAGTGTCCATGGGTGGCTAGCTATGTTCCGAGGAGTAGGTCGTTAGGTGCTGGTAACTGTAGTCTCTAAGGTCTAACACGTATGTACTTGGTGAAGTCGAATATTAAAATGGTATAAAATATCGACAGGTTGTTAGGTAAGACACATATGCAACAGTTAGGTATCTTTATTTCGAAACGTTCCGCCTACACAATAGGCTTCTTCAGTCGAGTACAGAAAAGTTGATGGAGTCAGCGACCCTTTATAAACAAAATAATCACATGCCATGACTGTAACATTACATAAATATCCCGCACACAGAAAAAAAAGCTTATGACGACGTTTCGGTCCTTAAATTTCTCCTACGTGCCGGTTATTTATATAATGATCCTTAAGGTCGATAATCTCATTCATCCAACTCGAGGCGTAACATTATTAATGATAGATAATACTGGAAACGGTTGTAGATACTTGTATGTGCGAATGATATTAGTACAAATTGATTATAACAGCAAAATAACTATGCTTAGTTATTATATGACTGAGTAGGAGCTAAATCTGGGGAAGGAAATAGACTAAGGTTCGTGCCAAAGAAGGGATTACGAGCTCCAAGTCCTTGTATAAAGAACCCTACACTAGCATCAAGGCGACCTTGTTTTCTACCGCCCTGTTGGACGAAACGTCTCTTAGTAAAGATACCCAAGTGTTGTTTCATTGATCAAATTATCTGTATTATCTACTAGTCATCTAAATATTTTTACCTTAGGATTGAGAAAGAATTTCGACCCATCACGCTCTGTGTTTACGCTCCTCTTTGCTCACCCAGCTGCCCAGACCAGTTCCCTCTTCGACACCACCACCAGCACCACTACACTAAGTCCTTTGAGTGTGGACAGCAACCCAGTGCCCCCAGTCCACTCCATCAAGGCCCGCAACGCCCAACCAGGCCCTTCCAAAGGCGTCGTACCCGTCATGATTGTGTGCATAGGTGTAAGTGCTAGCTAGAGATGTTATCTATAGGGACGTTGCTGTCGTGATAGAGATAATGATCAGTATAAAACAGTAGATAAATAAGAGATTAGCTCTAAATTGAAAGCCGGGCATTACTAACGTGTGGTGATCAATGATTCTTTTGCCTCCAGTGTGGTGATTCCTCAGAGGAGAGCTCTGCAGAAGAGAAGACTGAGAAAGAGAAAACTGAAGCTCCAGCCACTACCACTGCTCCCATTGACGAAAAGAAACCCCTTGCCTCTCCCACTGATGAAAAAAAGCCTGTCGTCTCTCCCACTGATGAAAAGAAGCCTCTTGCCTCTCCCACTAATGAAAACAAGCCCGTCGCCTCTCCCAACGATAGAAACAAGCCCATTGCCTCTCCCACTGATGAAAATAAGCCCGTCGCCTCTCCCAACGATAGAAACAAGCCCGTTGCCTCTCCCACTGATGAAAACAAGCCCGTCGCCTCTCCCAACGATAGAAACAAGCCCATTGCCTCTCCCACTGATGAAAATAAGCCCAGTGCCTCTTCCACTGATGAAAGCAAGCCTCTTGCCTATCGCTTCCACGAAAGAAGACCATTTTCATCCTCCCGCTTCAGTAACGTAAGTACTGTAGTTGTAGCAGCTTTCACAGAGCCTCAGTAACGAGAGAACTGTAGTTGTATAAATAAAATTCCATCTCAGGAGGTGTGGCTCCAGATGTTCTCTCTCCTCAGCTTACAATAATATTTTTACCAACATATCACCAAGCTTAGACGTTGTCTGCTTAAGTCAATATTACCCATCGTGGGCTGTGTTTGTACCAATATTACTCATCGTGGGCTGTGTTTGTACCAATATTACCCATCGTGGGCTGTGTTTGTACCAATATTACCCATCGTGGGCTGTGTTTGTACCAATATTACCCATCGTGGGCTGTGTTTGTACCAATATTACCCATCGTGGGCTGTGTTTGTACCAATATTACCCATCGTGGGCTGTGTTTGTACCAATATTACCCATCGTGGGCTGTGTTTGTACCAATATTACCCATCGTGGGCTGTGTTTATACCAACATTACCCATCGTGGGCTGTGTTTGTACCAATATTACCCATCGTGGGCTGTGTTTGTACCAATATTACCCATCGGGGCTGTGTTTTGTACCAATATTACCCATCGTGGGGTGTGTTTGTACCAATATTACCCATCGTGGGCTGTGTTTGTACCAATATTACCCATCGTGGGCTGTGTTTGTACCAATATTACCCATCGTGGGCTGTGTTTGTACCAATATTACCCATCGTGGGCTGTGTTTGTACCAACATTACCCACTGTAAGCTGTGGTTGTATATATCTCTTAATTATTTCGAATACTGAACACATTCAGTGGTAAACAATGCAGAATTTCGTAAAGTCTCTAAGCTGTTTAATCTAATAATAAAATCAAAATTAAGTACAATTATAAATATATATGCAAAATGTATTAGTCCTAGTACGTGTTACTTTGTTTCTACAATCAAGTTAACAGACGCCACTTTGTTTATAAATCAATTTGTTTTGTTTTAGTGTTTTATAATTCCAGATGATATCTTTTTTTATGCCTGCCTATAATTCACGACCTGTGGTATTTGATTGTCAGTTATATACATTCTTTCAGGCTGCCCCAACTCACACCAGTAAGGCAGGTTACAAGCTCTAAACACTGTCAAGACGACCCACCAACTAAGTTAGTGCTCATCCCTCAAACCACTAGGACGACCCTCCATCTACTGTCCTCTGTGGTACACTATCACCACACCTCCGCCAAGAACCCCCTCCAGGAATATAGTTTTGTTCTATCTAGAGAAAGACAATGTTTTACATCTAACCAATTTAGAAATAATGACCTGGAATTAGAACTATGATACATGTCTTGTAGTTCTAGTATCTAGACAGCATCTAAAGCTAGATCCTTCAGACTTGGTAACAGCTAAATCCTGTTCACTAGTCTGCTGGTTCCTGATCATACCATCCTCCATGGTAGTGTTATTTGTCGTGGATATGATTGTCTTGATGATACCCACGTTTAACTCCCGTTTACCTCTGCACGTCCCCCTCACTGTGTTAACCACGTTGAACACAGAGACATGCTTGATCATTGCTACACACAACTTCCTCCACAGTAACTATTCCTGTTATAACCCTTCACTCACACACACATCTAGAACTTTTCATGAGTTATACCACTCTTGGTCACACTGTGGCTCTTGGACCATCTCTTCTTCATCCCCAAAACACAAAATCGGCTCCACCAACTAGTCCCCACAACTGTGTCCTGTTTCTGCTGTCCTCAACACCATCCCCAGATACCAGCTTTACTCTCTGTACACACACACCTTCTATCATTTCCACACCATACTGGATGCAAGAATTTAATCACTAAAACACTGAAGTCCTGTTTTTTTTTCAGTCACTGCTAGACACCTCCCAGATAACAGAACATTTTGTCAGAATCAGAATTCAAATTTTCCAGACTTATGATGTGGAAGTCAATAACTCATTTATTACTGTTTGTATCTTTAAATTATTTCATTTTGTATGTTTTATATATAATATAAATGTTTAATTGATTCAAATAAAACTTGTATGGTAGTCAAATATTTTATTATTCCTAACTAGCAGAATGTATAGACACAGACGGAGTCCCACACCCTCGGAGAAACTGATAAAAAAAGGCATTATGGAAAAATACTTGGATTTCTCCGAGAAGCTTTCCCATGAGGCCTGGTCTCAGACCGGGCCGCGGGGGCGTTGACCCCTGAACCTCTCTCCAGGTAAACTCCAGTTAAATCCATCTTTTAATAAATGCACAAAATATGCATACTTCATTATATAATATAGAACACAGCGTTTAAACGATACATATAGTACAAAGATGATGGATAGTACAGTACACTCTGCTTAAGGGATATGTTACAAGCACAGAAGTGTCTGTCAACGATTACATTGCATATATTTTGTCCAGCTGGGGAGCGTAAACAAGACAGAACAGATATTACCCCTTTGCAACATTGACGTGCCAGAAGTCAAAACTAGGTGCCCTGGGATTCTTAGATGCTCTTTTGAGTCTTTTTTGCTTAAGTTACTAAGGAGATTTTACCCAACCCGCAGAGGGTTGGTGAGCCTATGTGTGGCAAGCTACGAGTATGTTCATTTTATTCTGCATATGTCACACTCCCATATAGGCTGCCTCCCGACCAGGAGCCCCGTAGTTATGTCAGTACCTCGGGTCATCAGCCAGCCACAGACAAACCCGTCAAAGCTGTGAAACAACGTGGTTCATTTATGACACGCGAATTGGCAGACTTGTCTGGGCTGCTGGTCCCTCACAGTGCATTCTCTGGCTCTCGTATTTTCCTTCTTTATTCACCCTGTTGTACACTTTCTCTTACGTTATTGTATTATTGTGATTATTATTATTAGTATAATCAAGAGGAAGCGCGAAACCCGTAGGATTATACAACGCCTGGGGGGGATGTGGAAGGTATTCAGGATTTATATTATTGTATATACGGTAAATAGTGTACATATTGTAAATACCAGTTTGTGTACTTGGGAAGGAAATACAGATCAAATACTGCTGTTAAGTTTTGCTTGCACCATTATTGGCTCGGTTATAGTAATGTATGCAGGCTATTCTACACTTTTGTGAAAGTTAAGACACATGTGCAACATCTGGATATCTTTATTGTAGACGTTTCGCCATCCAGTGGCTTTATCAATACAGATTCTAGGACATAATAGGAAGACAGTAGAACTATATACAAAAGATGAGGTAATCAGTCCCTCGGCCTTGGAGTTAGTGTTCACAGCATCGTGGTGGAGGAGATGCTGTGAACACTAACTCCAAGGCCGAGGGACTGATTACCTCATCTTTTGTATATAGTTCTACTGTCTTCCTATTATGTCCTAGAATCTGTATTGATAAAGCCACTGGATGGCGAAACGTCTACAATAAAGATATCCAGATGTTGCACATGTGTCTTAACTTTCATATTGTCGGTATTTTATACCTTTCTTGCACTACACTTTTGTGTACGTAATACTATGGGAACAAACATTTAGTAATGACATTTTCCTGTGGCAGCGTTTCACTCTACAGGAGCTTCGCCATAGCTCCTGGAGAGTGAGTATAAACATACGATGGTAAAGTCTCGTATGATTTCTAGACTTCTGTGACTCCATGAAGCTGGTAGCTGCCTCTCCTTCCTCCCTACTGTGTAGGAAATAGGTATCAATGTGGATGTACATGTGTAGTCCAACACCACCTACTTGCCGTCTAAACAAGCTTGAAGGTGATTCCATCTGGATGCTTTGTGTTGCTAGTGGATGTGAAGAGTAAACGTGGATATGTTTTCTTGGGGAGCATCCGGCTGTTGCAAGGCTATTCTTGATGTTGCTAAGCTCTTTATACCTTGCAAGGTTTCCCTCAGATCCATGGCAAACAAGCAGATGGTACCTGAATCTGTCTGTCTTAGCAATGCTTCAGATGCAGCGAAGTGCCTGTGTTGCGAGGCGTGTGCCAAGGTAATAATTGGTGAGAGCCAACAAAAAATCCCCTGCATGAGGAGTTTCTAACAGCCTAGCATCTGGGCAAGCATCTTGGAAATAGATACTGACAAATCGCTTTAGAAAGACACGTGAGCAAAAAATAAGACATTAGAAAACGTTTCGGTCCTGGGACCTTGATCAACGACCTTGTTGAAGACGGTATAAAATACCGACAAGTTGAAGATTAAGACACATATGCAACAGTTGGGTATCTTTACTGAAGAAACGTTTCGCCTACACAGCAGGCCTCTTCAGTCAAACACAAAGGCAGCAGCAGTAATGAAATAAAAATGATGGAATCAGTCCATCAGCCTTAGTGGCTAACGCGACGGGCTGGAGTTTTGAGACTCTCTGACAGCGGGTTCAATCTCGGCCGGGGTATGGTTTAGGGGAAAAGTATTTGAGGTTAAAGCCAGATAACGAACCCACACACACACAACTATTCTTTGCTGACATAAATATACTTGGTCAAGCTAGAAATGACGTCAAGTGCGAATGAACGCGGATTTCGTGTAGAATTATTTAAGAGAAATATATGTTTTTAATCACAATTGACTCACTAGGACTTCAATGAATACAAATTGATTAAGAAATGCAATATAATCCGGCTGATAAATTCAGATTTCTTCTAGGAAGATGTTGTTTTGCATGAGGATATATAAGACCTTGGCTGAACTGATCTCGGTTCATTTGTTTTGCGGTCAACAGCGGTAGAAGAGTAAACATGAAGACCTTCCTGCCCCTCGGTCTTACACTTCTGGCTGTAGCAGCCAACGCTGCTCCTGGTAAGTGGCTCACGTATTCTTTCCTCCACTTGTATGTATCATTATGCAATAAAAGGGTGTGTCAAATTTTCGTGTGGCGAGACGTGGCAATGAATGGAGCATATATAAGGGCCAACCCCTTTTCCAACCTGACTGTGGTTTCCAAAGCCGATCACCATCTAAAAGACCCGGTTGGGGAAAAACCGGGGAAACCCCAAGAAAAGAAATGGGTCCCTTGTCTTGCATCAACAACATAGAAGGGAACATGAAACCTTCCTGCCCTTCGTTCTTCGGCGTACCCCAACGCTGCCCCCCGGGAACGGCTATGTTATTTTTTAAACCTTTATTAATACCCCCCATACCCATCCGGGGGCGTTTTCAAAAATTACAAGGTACATAATGGGTCGGCTCACTACTCTAATCCACTTGTAGAAAGTATTGTTGGTAAAACCTTTAAAAAAAGATACGGAAAACGTTTTTTGGGCCTGGGGCCTTCATCAAGGTTCCCGGGCCTTGATTTCTAACATTCCCAGTATTCGCTCAGTGCTTTCCAAAACAATATTGGGTTTGGAAAAATTTAGTCCCCTGACCCTTCAAGGGGAATGGACGGGTTACATCACTTAACACCTTTACTGTTTCTGCTGCCTCTGTACCACGAAAAACCTGCAGTAGGCGAAACGTTTTCGTAATAAAGATACCCAACTACTGCACCTGTTCTTTCTTATCAGCTTGTCGTATTGTAAAAAAAAAAATTAACTTTCTTTATGGTGGATGAGTTATTACGATAATATAAAAACGGTATTATATTCATAAGACATTTAATAAAATACCAGGGGGGTTTAAGACAGCCAGAGGTCTTGAAACAGCCAGGGTCTTGAAGACAGCCAGAGGCTTTAAAAACAGCCAAGTCTTTAAGACAGCCCCAAGGGCTTGAAAACAGCCAGGGGGCTTGAAACACCAAGGGCTTGAAAACAGCCCGAGGTTTTTGAAGACAGCCCGGGGTCTTGAAGAACCAGAGGGCCTTTAAACAGCCCCGGGTCTTGAAGACACCAGGGGTTTTAAACAGCCAGGGTCTTGAAGACAGCCAAGGTCTTGAAACAGCCAAGGTCTTGAAGAAGCCAAGGTCTTGAAACAGTCTGAGGTCTTTAAGACAGCCAGGGGGCTTGAAGACAGAAGAGGGCTTAAGACAGCCCGAGGCTTTAAACAGCCAGGGTCTTGAAGAAAGTCTGAGTCCCTTTAAACAGCCAGGGGTCTTGAAACAGCCAGGGGTCTTGAAGACAGCAAGAGGGCTGAAGACACCAGGGTCTTAAGACAGTCTGAGGGCTTTAAGACATCAGAGGGCTTGAAGACAGCCGGGGGGCTTGAAGACAGTCGAGGTCTTGAAGACAGCCGGGGCTTTAAAACCCAGGGGGCTTGAAGACAGCCAGAGGTCTTGAAGACAGCCAGGGCTTTAAAACAGCCAGGGTCTTGAAGACTCCCCGGGCTTAAGACATCAGGGGGCTTGAAGAAGCCAGGGGCTTGAAACAGCCGGGGTCTGAAGACACCGGGGGCTTGAAGATAGCCAGGGGGGCTTTAAACAGCCAATCTTGAAGACGCCGGGGGCTTGAAACAGTCTGAGGGCTTGAAGACAGCCAGAGGGCTTAAACAGCCCGGGTCCCTTTAAGACAGTCTAGGGTTTGAAGACAGCCCGGCTTGAAGACAGCCAGGGGTCTTTAAGACAGCCAGAGGTCTTGAAACAGCCAGGGTCTTGAAGACAGCCCGGGGTCTTGAAACAGTCTGAGGTCTTGAAGACAGTCAGGGGTCTTGAAGACAGCCAGGGGGCTTGAAGACAGCCAAGGTCTTGAAGACAGCCAGGGGGTTCAAGACAGTCAGGCTTTAAGACCCCAAGGTCTTGAAACACCCGGGGTCTTTAAGAAATCTGAGGTCTTAAGACGCCAGGGGTCTTTAAGACACCAGAGGCTTGAAGACAGCCAGGTCTTAAAAACAGCCAGGGGGCTGAAGACAGTCTGAGGTCTTTAAAACAGCCAGGGGCTTGAAAAACAGCCAGGGGGGCCCTTTAAGAACCAAGTCTTGAAGACAAAACCAGGGTCCCTTTAAGAAGTCAGGGCTTTAAAATTCCCGAGGTCTTGAAGACAGCCAGGGGTCTTTAAGACAGCAGCTTGAAACACCAGGGGTTTTTGAAGAAAGCCAGGGGGCTTAAGACACCAAGGGCTTGAAGACAGCCAGGGGGCTTGAAAACAGCCAGGGCTTTAAACAGTCTGAGGTCTTGAAGACACCAGGGGCTTGAAACAGCCAGGGGTCTTGAAGACACCAAAATCTTTTAAGACAGCCAGGGGGCTTGAAAACAGCCAGGGTCTTGAAAACGTCGAGGGCTTGAAGAAAATCCAGGGTCTTGAAGACAGCCAGGGCTTGAAGACGCCCGGGCTTGAAGACAGCCAGGGGTCTTGAAGATAGCCAGGGGGTTTTAAGACGCCAGAGGCTTTAAGCAGCCAGGGGGGCTTGAAAACAGTCTGAGGTCTTGAAGACAGCCAGAGGTTTTTGAAAAACAGCCCGGGGGCTTGAAACAGCCAGGGTCTTGAAGACAGCCGGGGGCTTAAGACAGCCAGGGTCTTAAAGACAGCCGAGGTCTTGAAGACAGCCCGGGGTTTTGAAAAACAGCCCGGGGTCTTGAAAAAGCCGGGGTCTTGAAGACAGTCTGAGGTCTTGAAAACAGTCAGGGGTTTAAGGCACCCGGGGGCTTGAAGACAGCCAGAGGGCTTGAAGACACCCCGGGTCTTGAAGATAGCCGGGCTTGAAGACAGCCAGAGGTCTTAAGACGCCATGGGTCTTGAAGAAGCGAGGGGCTTGAAGACACCAAGGTATTGAAGACAGCCAGGGGGGCTTTAAGACAGCCAGGGTCTTTAAGACAGCCCCCGGGGCTTGAAAACAGCCAGGGGCTTAAAAAACAGCCGAGGTCTTGAAGACCGCCAGGGGGTTTTGAAAACAACCAGGGGTCTTGAAACAGCCAGGGGGCTTTAAGACAGCAAAGGTCTTGAAGACAGCCAGTCTTGAAGACACCCCGAGGTCTTGAAAAAAGTCGAGGTCTTGAAGACAGCCGGGTCTTGAAAACAGTCTGGCTTAAAAACACCGGGGGCTTGAAGACAGCCAGGGCTTGAAGACAGCCAGAGGGCTTTAAACAGCCAGGGGTCTTGAAGACAGCCAGGTCTTGGACAGCTGAGGGCTTGAAACAGCAGGGGGCTTGAAGACACCAGGGTCTTAAGACAGCCAGGGGGCTTTAAGACAGCCAGGGGGGCTTGAAATACCAGGGTCTTTAAAACAGCCAGAGGGCTTGAAACAGCCAGGGGGCTTGAAACATCCCGAGGTCTTGAAACACCAGAGGGCTTTAAGACAGCCAGGGGCTTGAAAACAGTCTGAGGTCTTGAAGACAGCCAGGGGGCTTGAAGACAGCCAGGGGGGCTTGAAACAGCCAGGGTCTTGAAGACAGCCAGGGGGCTTTAAGACACCCCGGGGGGCTTGAAACAGTCTAGGTCTTTAAGACAGTCAGGTCTTTAAGACAGCCAGGGTCTTGAAGACAAACCAAGGTTTGAAGACAGCCAGGGGTCTTGAAAACCCTAGGGCTTGAAACAGCCAGAGGGCTTGAAACAGCCAGGGGGGTTGAAGACAGTCTGAGGTCTTGAAGACACCAGGGGTCTTGAAAAACAGCCAAGGTCTTGAAAACAGCCAGAGGTCTTGAAAAACAGCCGGGTCTTGAAGACATCGAGGTCTTGAAGACGCCAGGGGTCTTAAGACAGCCGGGGGCTTGAAGACAGCCAGAGGTCCCCTTTAAGAAGCCAGGTCTTGAAGACGTCTGAGGCTTGAAGATAGTCAAGGTCTTTAAACAGCCAGGGGGCTTGAAGACAGTCGAGGTCTTGAAGACAGCCAGGGGTCTGAAACAGCCAGGGGGCTTGAAACAGCCAGAGTCTTTAAGACAGCCGGGGTCTTGAAGACAGCCGGGTCTTTAAGACTGTCGAGGGGCTTGAAGAACCAGGGTCTTGAAGACAGCCAGGGTCTTGAAGACAGCCAAAGGGCTTTAAGACAGCCAGGGGGCTTGAAGACAGCAGGGGTCTTGAAACATCTGAGGCTTTAAGACAGTCAGGGCCCCCCCCCCCCCCCAAGGTTTGGCCCCTTGAAGAACCAGGGGGCTTTAAGACAGCCAAGGTCTTGAAGACAGCCAGGGGTCTTGGGGCAGGATTAAAAACCCGGGGTCTTGAAGACAGCCCGGGGGGCTGAAGACAGCCAGGGGCTTTAAGAACCCCGGGGGCTGGGAAAAGGGGGCTTAAAAACGCCCGAGGGCTTGAAGACACCAGGGGTTTTTGAAGACAAGCCAGGGTCTTTAAAACAGCCAGGGGGCCTTGAAGACACTGGGTCCTTAAGACAGCCAGGGAAGGGGGCTGAAGACAGCCAGGGTTTTGAAGACAGCCAGGGGTCTTGAAGAAGCCCAGGGTCTTGAAGACACCGAGGTCTTGAAGACACCCGGGGGCTTGAAGCACAAGTCTTTAAGACACCAGGGGGGCTTGAAGAAGCCAGGGGGTCTTTTTAAGAAAGCCAGGGGTCTGAAGACAGCCAAGGTCTTGAAGACGCCAGGGGTCTTTAAAACAGCCGAGGTCTTGAAGACAGCCAGGGGGGGTTTTTAAGAAGCCAAGGGGGCTTGAAAACACCAGGGGGGCTTGAAACACCAGAGTCTTTAAGACAGCCCGGGGGCCCCTTAAAAACAGCCAGGGGTTTGAAGACAGCCAGGGTTTGAAAAACAGCCCCAGGGTCTGAAAGACAGCCAGGGGTCTTGAAGACAGCCAAGGTCTTGAAAACAGCCAGGGGCCCTTTTAAGACACCAGGGGGGCTTTAAGACAGCCCGGTCTTTAAACAGCCAGGGGGGGCTTGAAGACAGCCAGGGGGTTTGAAGACACAGGTCTTTTAAGACAGCCAGGGGGCTTGAAGACAGCCAAGGGCTTTAAGACAGCCGGGGGGCTTGAAAACAGCCAAGGGCTTTAAGACAGCCAGGGGCTTGAAGACAGCCAGGGGTTTTAAGACAGCCTGAGGTCTTGAAGACACCAGGGGGCTTGAAGACAGCCAGGGTCTTGAAAAGCCAGGGGGCTTGAAAAAGCCCGGGGTCAAAACAGCCCCGGGTTTGAAGACAGCCAGGGGTTTTAAAAACACCGGGTCTTGAAAAAAAGCCAGGGTCTTAAGAAAGCCAGGGTCTTGAAGACGCCAGGGGGGTTGAAGAAGCCGGGTCTTAAAACAGCCAGGGGGCTTGAAGACGCCAGTGGTTTTAAAGGCACCAGGGGGCTTGAAGATAGCCCAAAGGGCTTTAAGACACCCGGGTCTTGAAGACACCAGGGTCTTGAAGAAGCCGGTCTTTAAAACACCAGGGCTTGAAGACACCAAGGGTTTAAGAACAAAAACCGGGGCTTTAAGACAGCCAGGGTCTTGAAACAGCCAGGGTCTTTAAGAACCAAGGTCTTGAAGACAGCCCGGGTCTTGAAACACCAGGGTCTTAGACACCAGGGGTCTTTAACAGCCAGGGTCTTTAAACAGCCAGGTCTGAAAACAGCCAGGGGGTCTTGAAGACAGCCAAAAAGGGGGCTTAAGACAGCCGGGGTCTTAAGAACCAATCTTGAAGACACCAGGGTCTTAAAAACACCAAGGTCTTTAAGACACCCGGGGGTTTAAAAACAGCCGAGGGCTTGAAGACGCCCGGGGTTTGAAGAAGCCAAGGTCTTGAAGACAGCCAGGGTCCTTAGACAGCCAGGGTCTTGAAGACGCCAGGGGGCTTAAGACAGCCAAAAGGGCTTGAAGACAGCCCGGGGTTTGAAACAGCCAGAGCTTGAAGACAGCCAGGGTCTTGAAACGCCAGAGGCTTGAAAAACAGCCAGGGGCTTGAAGACAGCCAGGGTCTTGAAGACAGCCGGGGGCTTGAAAGCAAGGGCCCCCCAGGGTCTTTTAAGACAGCCGAGGCTTTAAGACAGCCAGGTCTTTAAAACAGCCAGAGTCTTTAAACACCAGGGCTTGAAGACACCGGGCCTTTTAAGACACGGGGGTCTGAAAAACAGCCAGGTCTTGAAGACAGCCAGGGTCGAAGACAAAACCGGGTCTTGAAGACAGCCAGGGTTTAAGCACCGGGCTTTTAAAAAGCCAGGTCTTGAAAGGGGGGGGGGGGGGGGGGGGGGGGGGGGGGGGGGGGGGGGGGGGGGGGAAACCAGGGGTCTTGAAACAGCCAGGGTTTTTTAAAAGGCCCAAAAGGGGCTGAAGTAGCCAAGGGGCTTGAAGACAGCCAGGGGGCTTTAAGACAGCCAGGGTCTTTAAGACAGCCAGGGGTCTTGAAGACACCGGGGGTTTAAAACAGCCGGGGGGCTTGAAGTAGCCAGGGTCTTGGGAAAACAGCCAGGGCTTTAAGACACCAGGGTCTTGAAGAAGCCGGGCTTTAAGACAGCCAGGGGTCTTGAAGACAGCCAGGGTCTTGAAGAAACGGGAAAACCGGGGTTTGAAAACAGCCAGGGGTCCCCTTAAGACAGCCAGGGGTCTTTTAAACAGCCAGGGGCTTGAAGACCCAGGGGTTTTGAAGACACCAGGGGGGTTGAAACACCAGGGTCTTGAAGACAGCCAGGGGGCTTTAAGAACCAGGGTCTTGAAGAAGCCAGAGGTCTTGAAGACAGCCAAGGGGCTGAAAAAAGCCAAGTCTTGAAGACAGCCCGGGGTCCTGAAAAACACCAGGGCTTGAAGACAGCCAGGGGGCCCTTGAAGACGCCAGGGGCTGAAGACACCAGGGTCTTGAAGACACCAGGGGGCTTGAAGACAGCCTTCTTGAAACAGCCCGGGTCTTGAAGACGCCAAAGGGGTTGAAAACAGCCAGGGTCTGAAGACAACCAAATTTTTGAAACAGTCAGGGGGGTTGAAACAGCAGGGCTTTAAAACAGCCAGGGGGCTTGAAGCACCCGGGTCTGAAAACACCCGGGGTCTTAAGACAGCCAGGGTCTTGAAGACACCAGGGGCTTGAAGACACCAGGTCTTGAAACACCCGGGGGCTTGAAAACAACCAAAGGGGCTTTAAGACAGCCAGGGTCTTGAAACAGCCCGGGGTCTTGGAGACAGCAAAGGGGGCTTGAAGACACAGGGGTCTTGAAGACATCAGGGGGCTTAAGACAGCCAGGGGGCTTGAAGACAGCCAGGGGTCTTGAAGACAACCAGGGGCTTGAAGACAGTCAGGGGTCTTTAAGACACCAGGGGGCTTAAAAACAGCCAGAAGTCTTGAAGACAGCCAGAGGTCTTGAAGACAGCCAGAGGTCTTGAAGACAAACCCGAATCTTGAAGACAGCAGGGGGCTTGAAACAGCCAGGGGTTTCCCGGGGGAAGCAACCAGGGGGCTTAAGACAGCAGGGGTCTTTAAGAAGCCGGGGTCTTGAAACACCCCCGAAGTCTTGAAGACGCCCGGGGTCTTGAAAACAGCCAGGGGTCTTTAAGACAACCAAAGTCTTAAGACAGTCCAGGGGGCTTGAAGACAGCCAGGGGTCTTGAAGACAGCCAGGGGTCTTGAAGACAGCCAGGGGTCTTGAAGACAGCCAGGGGTCTTGAAGACAACCAGAAGTCTTGAAGACAGTCAGGGGTCTTGAAGACAGCCAGGGGTCTTGAAGACAACCAGAAGTCTTGAAGACAGTCAGGGGTCTTGAAGACAGCCAGGGGTCTTGAAGACAGCCAGGGGTCTTGAAGACAACCAGAAGTCTTGAAGACAGTCAGGGGTCTTGAAGACAGCCAGGGGTCTTGAAGACAACCAGAAGTCTTGAAGACAACCAGAGGTCTTGAAGACAACCAGAGGTCTTGAAGACAGCCAGGGGTCTTGAAGACAACCAGGGGTCTTGAAGACAACCAGAAGTCTTGAAGACAACCAGAGGTCTTGAAGACAGCCAGGGGTCTTGAAGACAGCCAGAAGTCTTGAAGACAACCAGAGGTCTTGAAGACAACCAGAAGTCTTGAAGACAGCCAGGGATCAGTTTTTAGAAGATAAAAAATTAAATAATAGATTTTAACATGATATTAAGATACGACATTGTTTCTATACTGATGGAGTGAATACATCGTCTCCAGGCTGAGGGACTAATTACCTCAAACTCCTCCTCATCTTCCACCTTTCTTCTGTGCTTTGGACTGACGTTTCCTCAGTAAAGACTCTCATATCCTCCCAAAAGTGTCTCAATATTCAATCTGTTTTTTTTAAGCCATTTTAATCCATTTTAAACCGAAATTCTCAGCATAACAAGGGACTTTCTATATAGTAGTATGTCATTGGTGTCAGCTATGGTCTGTATAAGTTGTATCTTGTACTGGTAGTAATTATTATTATTATTATTATTATTATTATTATTATTATTATTATTATTATTATTATTATTATTATTATTATTATTATTATTATTTTTATTTACATCATGATTGTTCACCCTCTGACACCTGCCCAGAACATGCCAGTGGTCGAATTATTACCAACTGGTGGGCGAAACATCTCTGGGTAAAGATGAATGGTTCAGAGAACTGACAAGTTGATGAATTAGACACTTAAGTGCTGCACATGTGTCTTATTCATCAATTTAGGCACATGTACACATAGGTACGATTCATACATAGTGTAAACTGCCCTCCAGGATAGCTCAGAAAAGTCTGGCAAAGTGACTGATTTCCATTGTGGCCCGTGGCCTGGTAGACAATGCTCTCGCTTCACACACTGAGTGTCCGTGGTTCGATCTCCGGAAGGGGTAGAAACATTTGGCGTGTCTCCTTACACCTGTTGTCCAGTTCATCCAGCCGTAAGTAGGTACCTGGGTGTTAGTCGACTGGTGTGGGTGGCATCCTGGGGGATAAGTTTGAGGGCTGACTTTCTTGGGCTATTCTTGGTGGCTAACCCTCCAGGGTTAAAAATCCCAACAATATCATATCTTTGCTCCCACAGCTGCCCAGACGGGTTCTCTCTCCGGCACCAGTATGTGGGGCAATAATGTGGGGAATAAGCCAGCGCCTCCAAGCCACTCCATCCACAATGATGACGTAAAGCCAACAGCCTCACCAGTGAGTATTATTACATATGTTGAGTGTTTCTATGTCCATTTATAACATTGAAAATATGATGGGCAAATATTCTTCTTAGTGGGGTTGGGTTTGAGAAAGACCAACCTAGTATGGGCTAATAGATGTCCCGCAGCTCGATCGCTAGCTCACGTATACTGAGGTCCGGGGATCGAATCCCCGGTACGGCTGGAAAGCATTAGGACGTGTTATCATAAGACACCTGCTATCCATGTTCACCCACCAATAATAATAGGTACCTGGGTGTTAGTGGACTGGTGTGGGTCGCATCCTGGGACAAAATTGACCTAATTTGCGGGAAATGCTCAGCATAACAGTAGGCGAAATGATACATAGATAGGGCGGAGAGTCAGGTGGAGAATGTTGGGTAGGTTGGATCTGAGAGAGACCTGCACGGGACGGGCGGGTGTGTTCTCATGTAGGGTAACCATCAACAAGCCTGGAAAGGGCTTCATCTATGTTCCAGAAGCCGTTGGTCAGCTTGAAATTGTTAGATATACGTGATAATTCCAAAATTCTGCGATACTGACTCTCTTTTCCCCTGGCGCTGAGTGTTGATTAAATGGTATTTATCTCCAGTCTGACGATTAAATGGTATTTATCTCCAGTCTGAGGATTAAATGGTATTTATCTCCAGTCTGACGATTAAATGGTATTTATCTCGAGTCTGACGATTAAATGGTATTTATCTCCAGTCTGACGATTCCTCGGAAGAAACTTCCTCGGAAGAAACTCCTTCTGAAGGAAGTTCCTCGGAAGAAAGTTCAGAAGAAGACAAGACTGAGGTTCCAGCCACCATCACATCTACCCATATAAAGAAGCCATTTACCTCTCCCAACAATGTAAATAAACTTGTTGCATCCTCCAGCTTCAGCAAAGTAAGTACTGTAGTTGTAGCAACTTTCACAGAGCATCAGTAACGTAAGTACTGTAGTTGTAGCAACTTTCACAGAGCATCAGTAACGTAAGTACTGTAGTTGTAGCAACTTTCACAGAGCATCAGTAACGTAAGTACTGTAGTTGTAGCAACTTTCACAGAGCATCAGTAACGTAAGTACTGTAGTTGTAGCAACTTTCACAGAGCATCAGTAACGTAAGTACTGTAGTTGTAGCAACTTTCACAGAGCCTCAGTAACGTAAGTACTGTAGTTGTAGCAACTTTCACAGAGCCTCAGTAACGTAAGTACTGTAGTTGTAGCAACTTTCACAGAGCCTCGGTAACGTAAGTAACTGTAGTTGTAGCAACTTTCACAGAGCCTCAGTAACGTAAGTACTGTAGTTGTAGCAACTTTCACAGAGCCTCAGTAACGTAAGTACTGTAGTTGTAGCAACTTTCACAGAGCCTCAGTAACGTAAGTACTGTAGTTGTAGCAACTTTCACAGAGCCTCAGTAACGTAAGTACTGTAGTTGTAGCAACTTTCACAGAGCCTCAGTAACGTAAGTACTGTAGTTGTAGCAACTTTCACAGAGCCTCAGTAACGTAAGTACTGTAGTTGTAGCAACTTTCACAGAGCCTCAGTAACGTAAGTACTGTAGTTTAGCAACTTTCCACAGAGCTCGGTAACGTAAGTACTGTAGTTGTAGCAACTTTCACAGAGCCTCGGTAACGTAAGTACTGTAGTTGTAGCAACTTTCACAGAGCCTCGGTAACGTAAGTACTGTAGTTGTAGCAACTTTCACAGAGCCTCAGTAACGTAAGTACTGTAGTTGTAGCAACTTTCACAGAGCCTCGGTAACGTAAGTACTGTAGTTGTAGCAACTTTCACAGAGCCTCGGTAACGTAAGTACTGTAGTTGTAGCAACTTTCACAGAGCATCAGTAACGAAGGAACTGTAGTTGTAAAAATGAAACCTCCGTCTCTGGAAGTATAGCCAAACCTCCGTCTCTGGAAGTATAGCCAAACCTCCGTCTCTGGAAGTATAGCCAAACCTCCGTCTCTGGAAGTATAGCCAAACCTCCGTCTCTGGAAGTATAGCCAAACCTCCGTCTCTGGAAGTATAGCCAAACCTCCGTCTCTGGAAGTATAGCCAAACCTCCGTCTCTGGAAGTATAGCCAAACCTCCGTCTCTGGAAGTATAGCCAACCCTCCGTCTCTGGAAGTATAGCCAACCCTCCGTCTCTGGAAGTATGGCCAACCCTCCGTCTCTGGAAGTATAGCCAAACCTCCGTCTCTGGAAGTATAGCCAACCCTCCGTCTCTGGAAGTATGGCCAACCCTCCGTCTCTGGAAGTATAGCCAACCCTCCGTCTCTGGAAGTATGGCCAACCCTCCGTCTCTGGAAGTATAGGCAACCCTCCGTCTCTGGAAGTATAGCCAAACCTCCGTCTCTGGAAGTATGGCCAACCCTCCGTCTCTGGAAGTATAGCCAACCCTCCGTCTCTGGAAGTATAGCCAAACCTCCGTCTCTGGAAGTATGGCCAACCCTCCGTCTCTGGAAGTATAGCCAAACCTCCGTCTCTGGAAGTATAGCCAACCCTCCGTCTCTGGAAGTATAGCCAAACCTCCGTCTCTGGAAGTATAGCCAACCCTCCGTCTCTGGAAGTATAGCCAAACCTCCGTCTCTGGAAGTATGGCCAACCCTCCGTCTCTGGAAGTATAGCCAAACCTCCGTCTCTGGAAGTATAGCCAAACCTCCGTCTCTGGAAGTATGGCCAACCCTCCGTCTCTGGAAGTATAGCCAAACCTCCGTCTCTGGAAGTATAGCCAAACCTCCGTCTCTGGAAGTATAGCCAAACCTCCGTCTCTGGAAGTATGGCCAACCCTCCGTCTCTGGAAGTATAGCCAACCCTCCGTCTCTGGAAGTATAGCCAAACCTCCGTCTCTGGAAGTATAGCCAAACCTCCGTCTCTGGAAGTATAGCCAAACCTCCGTCTCTGAAGTATGGCCAACCCTCCGTCTCTGGAAGTATAGCCAAACCTCCGTCTCTGGAAGTATGGCCAACCCTCCGTCTCTGGAAGTATAGCCAAACCTCCGTCTCTGGAAGTATGGCCAACCCTCCGTCTCTGGAAGTATAGCCAAACCTCCGTCTCTGGAAGTATGGCCAACCCTCCGTCTCTGGAAGTATAGCCAAACCTCCGTCTCTGGAAGTATGGCCAACCCTCCGTCTCTGGAAGTATAGCCAAACCTCCGTCTCTGGAAGTATGGCCAACCCTCCGTCTCTGGAAGTATAGCCAAACCTCCGTCTCTGGAAGTATGGCCAACCCTCCCTCTCTGAAGTATAGCCAAACCTCCGTCTCTGGAAGTATGGCCAACCCTCCGTCTCTGGAAGTATAGCCAACCCTCCGTCTCTGGAAGTATAGCCAAACCTCCGTCTCTGGAAGTATGGCCAACCCTCCGTCTCTGGAAGTATAGCCAAACCTCCGTCTCTGGAAGTATGGCCAACCCTCCGTCCTCCGGAAGTATAGCCAAACCTCCGTCTCTGGAAGTATGGCCAACCCTCCGTCTCTGGAAGTATAGCCAAACCTCCGTCTCTGGAAGTATGGCCAACCCTCCGTCTCTGGAAGTATAGCCAACCCTCCGTCTCTGGAAGTATAGCCAAACCTCCGTCTCTGGAAGTATGGCCAACCCTCCGTCTCTGGAAGTATAGCCAAACCTCCGTCTCTGGAAGTATAGCCAAACTCCGTCTCTGGAAGTATGGCCAACCCTCCGTCTCTGGAAGTATAGCCAAACCTCCGTCTCTGGAAGTATAGCCAAACCTCCGTCTCTGGAAGTATAGCCAAACCTCCGTCTCTGGAAGTATGGCCAACCCTCCGTCTCTGGAAGTATAGCCAACCCTCCGTCTCTGGAAGTATAGCCAAACCTCCGTCTCTGGAAGTATAGCCAAACCTCCGTCTCTGGAAGTATAGCCAAACCTCCGTCTCTGGAAGTATGGCCAACCCTCCGTCTCTGGAAGTATAGCCAAACCTCCGTCTCTGGAAGTATGGCCAACCCTCCGTCTCTGGAAGTATAGCCAAACCTCCGTCTCTGGAAGTATGGCCAACCCTCCGTCTCTGGAAGTATAGCCAAACCTCCGTCTCTGGAAGTATGGCCAACCCTCCGTCTCTGGAAGTATAGCCAAACCTCCGTCTCTGGAAGTATGGCCAACCCTCCGTCTCTGGAAGTATGGCCAAACCTCCGTCTCTGGAAGTATGGCCAACCCTCCGTCTCTGGAAGTATAGCCAAACCTCCGTCTCTGGAAGTATAGCCAAACCTCCGTCTCTGGAAGTATAGCCAAACCTCCGTCTCTGGAAGTATAGCCAACCCTCCGTCTCTGGAAGTATAGCCAACCCTCCGTCTCTGGAAGTATGGCCAAACCTCCGTCTCTGGAAGTATAGCCAAACCTCCGTCTCTGGAAGTATAGCCAACCCTCCGTCTCTGGAAGTATGGCCAAACCTCCGTCTCTGGAAGTATGGCCAAACCTCCGTCTCTGGAAGTATGGCCAAACCTCCGTCTCTGGAAGTATGGCCAAACCTCCGTCTCTGGAAGTATGGCCAAACCTCCGTCTCTGGAAGTATGGCCAAACCTCCGTCTCTGGAAGTATGGCCAAACCTCCGTCTCTGGAAGTATGGCCAAACCTCCGTCTCTGGAAGTATAGCCAACCCTCCGTCTCTGGAAGTATGGCCAACCCTCCGTCTCTGGAAGTATGGCCAAAACCTCCGTCTCTGGAAGTATACCAACCCTCCGTCTCTGGAAGTATGCCCAAACCTCCGTCTCTGGAAGTATAGCCAACCCTCCGTCTCTGGAAGTATGGCCAACCCTCCGTCTCTGGAAGTATAGCCAACCCTCCGTCTCTGGAAGTATGGCCAAACCTCCGTCTCTGGAAGTATGGCCAACCCTCCGTCTCTGGAAGTATGGCCAAACCTCCGTCTCTGGAAGTATAGCCAACCCTCCGTCTCTGGAAGTATGGCCAACCCTCCGTCTCTGGAAGTATGGCCAAACCTCCGTCTCTGGAAGTATAGCCAACCCTCCGTCTCTGGAAGTATGGCCAAACCTCCGTCTCTGGAAGTATAGCCAACCCTCCGTCTCTGGAAGTATGGCCAACCCTCCGTCTCTGGAAGTATGGCCAAACCTCCGTCTCTGGAAGTATAGCCAACCCTCCGTCTCTGGAAGTATGGCCAAACCTCCGTCTCTGGAAGTATGGCCAACCCTCGTCTCTGGAAGTATGGCCAAACCTCCGTCTCTGAAGTATAGCCAACCCTCCGTCTCTGGAAGTATGGCCAAACCTCCGTCCTGGAAGTATGGCCAACCCTCCGTCTCTGGAAGTATGGCCAAACCTCCGTCTCTGGAAGTATGGCCATAACCTCCGTCTCTGGAAGTATGGCCAAACCTCCGTCTCTGGAAGTATGGCCAACCCTCCGTCTCTGAAGTATAGCCAAACCTCCGTCTCTGGAAAGTATGGCCAAACCTCCGTCTCTGGAAGTATGGCCAACCCTCCGTCTCTGGAAGTATGGCCAAACCTCCGTCTCTGGAAGTATGGCCAACCCTCCGTCTCTGGAAGTATGGCCAAACCTCCGTCTCTGGAAGTATGGCCAACCCTCCGTCTCTGGAAATATCACCAAGCTTAGAAGTTGTCTGTTTATATCAACATTACCCATCATGGGCTGTGTTTATATCAATATTACCCATCGTGGGCTGTGTTTATATCAATATTACCCATCGTGGGCTGTGTTTATATCAGTATTACTCATCATGGGCTGTGTTTATATCAATATTACCCATCGTAGGCTGTGTTTATATCAATATTACCTATCGTGGGCTGTGTTTATATCAATATTACCCATCGTGGGCCGTGGTTATATCAATATTACCCATCATGGGCTGTGTTTATATCAATATTACCCATCGTGGGCTGTGTTTATATCAATATTACCCATCGTGGGCTGTGTTTATATCAATATTACCCATCGTGGGCTGTGTTTATATCAATATTATCCATCATGGGCTGTGTTTATACCATTACCCATCGTGGGCTGTGTTTATACCAATATTACCCATCATGGGCTGTGTTTATACCAATATTACCCATCGTGGGCTGTGTTTATATCAATATTACCCATCATGGGCTGTGTTTATATCAATATTACCCATCATGGGCTGTGTTTATATCAATATTACCCATCATGGGCTGTGTTTACATCAATATTACCCATCGTGGGCTGTGTTTATACCAATATTACCCATCGTGGGCTGTGTTTATACCAATATTACCCATCGTGGGCTGTGTTTATAGACATATTTAGAGATGTCTGGGCAGAAAGTCTGCAGTTACAAGTACAGTCAAAGAACGATAAGTTCTAAAATAGTGAAATTTAATATA